TAATCCCATTCATTGACAACTGGGACAACTTTTATGGCAAACATGATATGTATGCAAGGAATGGGGTACATCTCTCTGGGGCAGAGGTGGTAGAACTTGCGAACTCGATCGAGAGGGCCATTCCTGACATGTCTAGGATTTTAAACTGATAGAAGATATAGGTATGGGTGTGTGTGTGTGGGAAACAGTCAGGGTTGAAAACAGTAAATGTATAAAAGACATTCATCATAAAGTTATAAATAAAGACAATGGATCAGGCCAGCAAACAAAGGGAGACAGCAGAGGGCAGGAGTGTAAGAAATAAGATAGATGAGCTAAGATTAATTGCAAGTGCATGAAACATAGATATTATTGCTATAACAGAGACCTGGCTCAATCTGAAAGATAAAGAGATGCCTTCTGAATGTCACATAAAAGGCTATAAATTATTCCACACTGATAGGGTCAACAGGAAGGATGGTGGAGTAGCGATGTTTGTCAGAGACATTTTAAATTGTTGTGTTAGACAAGAAATAAAATTAGAAGCGTCAGCCACTGAATCTGTTTGGTTACAGCTTCTCGAGGGCCGTGAAAAACTAATCTTGGGTGTGATTTACAGACCCCCAAATCTTGATAGGGAGTGCAGCAAACTTCTATGGGCCGAAATTCGTAAGGCATCTACATACGAAAATGTTGTGCTAATGGGAGATTTCAACTTTAAACAAACTGACTGGAGCAATTTGATAGGAAATTTAGAGCCAAGTGACTTTCTTCATACGATTCAGGATTGTTTTTTTAAAACAGTTTGTGACAGAACCATCTAGAGGAAATAACCTGCTTGACTTGGTTCTTGCCAGCAGGGAATTGCTAATTAATAATCTTGAGGTTAATGATGAGCTTGGGGAAAGTGATTACAAATCACTCAGTTTTAATATATCATGGAATAACCCTAATAATGGCAATCAAATCTCTGTCCCTGTCTTCCGTTTGCCTGATTTCATAGGACTGAAAAATTACCTGGGTAGGCTGAACTGGAATGACCTGACTATGGGTCAGGTAGGTGGTGATGATTGCCGATATGATGTTTTCCAGAGCATAGTTCTAGCTGCTCAGATAACTTATGTTCCAAATAGGGAAATCAGATCAACCAAAAATGATTCTAAATGGATGAACAGTAGATTAAAACATCTCATTGGTCAAAAGAGAGGCATATATAGGCAAATCAAAAGAGAAGAGGGGCAGTTAAGAAATCAATATATTCAGTTAAAGAGAGAAATAAAAAGGGGAGTAAGAAAAGCAAAAAGAGATTATGAAGTTAAATTTGCAAGAGAATCGAAGATTAACCCAAAAGGATTCTTTCAGGTATACAGAAGTAAGATTAGGGACAAGATAGGCCCACTCAAAAGTCTCTCAGGTAAGCTCGTTGACAGTGATAAGGAAATGTATAGAATTTTTAACACTTACTTCCTCTCAGTTTTTACACAGAAAGATACTAGCGATATTCCAGAAATAATAAATTATGTAGAACAAGACGATAGTAAACTATGCACTATTAGGGTCACAAGTGACATGGTCCTTAGACAAATAGATAAATTAAAACCTAACAAATCCCCAGGCGCTGATGAACTGTATGCAAGGGTTCTAAAGGAATGTAAAGAGGAGCTTAGCAAATCTTTGACTAATCTTTTCAATATATCACTACAAACTGGCATGGTGCCAGATAAGTGGAAAATGGCAAATGTGATACCTATTTTCAAAGCAGGTGACAAGTCCTTAGCTTCGAAATATAGACCAATAAGCTTAACCTCCATAGTGGGAAAATTTATGAAATCAATAAATGCCGAGGCAATTCGTAGCCATCTTGAAAAGCATAAATTAATCAACGAATCTCAGCACGGTTTTACAAAAGGGCGTTCTTGCCTTACGAATTTATTAACTTTTTTCACTAAGGTATTTGAGGTATTGTGTATATGGGCTTCAGTAAGGCTTTTGACAGGGTCCCACATCAGAGACTATTGAGGAAAATTAAGGCACATGGAATAGGAGGAGAAATTTTTTCCTGGATAGAGGCATGGTTGACAAATAGGCAGCAGAGAGTTTGCATAAATGGGGAGAAATCAGAGTGGGGAAGCGTCACGAGCGGTGTTCCACAGGGGTCAGTGTTGGGCCCCTTGTTGTTCACAGTCTACAAAAACGACATAGATGAGGGAATTAATAGCGACATTAGCAAGCTTGCCGATGACACCAAAATAGGTCGTCGAATTCATTCTGAGGAGGACATTAGAACACTCCAGGAAGATTTGAATAGACTGATGCAGTGGTCGGAGAAGTGGCAGATGCAGTTTAATATAGACAAATGCGAAGTTCTAAACATTGGACAGGAAAATAATCATGCCACATATAAATTAAATAATGCAGATCTTAATGCTACTGATTGCGAAAACGATTTGGGAGTTTTGGTTAGCAGTAATCTAAAACCAAGACAACAGTGCATAAGTGTTCGCAATAAAGCTAACAGAATCCTTGGCTTCACATCGAAAAGCATAAATAATAGGAGTCCTCAGATTGTTCTTCAACTCTCTATATCCTTGGTTAGGCCTCATCTGGATTGTAGTGCACGGTTTTGGTCACCGTATTACAGAATGGATATAAATGCTCTGGAAAACGTACAAAGGAGGATGACAAAGTTGATCCCATGTATCAGAAATCTTTCCTATGAGGATAGACTGAGGTCCCTGAATCTTCACTCTCTAGAAAGGCGTAGAATTAGGGGGGATATGATCGAGGTGTATAAACGGAAGCCAGGAATAAATAAAGGGGGTGTAAATAGAGTGCTAAAAACATCCCAGCCTAGGCAGGACTCGCAGCAATGGTTTCAGGTTGGAAAAATTCAGATTCAGTAAGGATATAGGAAAGCACTTGTTTGGTAATAGAGTTGTGGATGAGTGGAACAAACTCCCGAGTACAGTTATTGAGGCTAAAATGTTGCGTAGTTTTAAAGACAGGTTAGATAAATACATGAATGGGTGTGACTTGACCTGACTAGGTTGGGGCATTGGCTTAACCCGGTAGGAGACTTAGACCTGCCTCGCATGGGCCAGTAGGCCTTCTGCAGTGTTCCTTGTTTCTTATGTTCTTATGTTCTAAGTGGTAATAAGTGGTTCAGGAAGCTGCTTCGCACGTCTCTGCAACTTAAACGGGATTAGAAAATATTTATTAATCTTTAAGGGGACTAAGACAATTTGACTCCCATTTTTCCCCCACTATACGATTTCATTCAATTTTTATTTCGTGAGTGACCCCTTAAGTGGCATTTTGTAAGTGGAGATGATGTCTGTGGCATCATCGAAATGAGGCTGAAACGCTGAGAAACGAAACAAAAGGAAACAGTATTATCCAGTTTCAAACAGGAAGTAACACATTAAACATTATCCGATCAGTGATTGTGTTTACGTGACGTAACAGCTAACGTCAGGCACACAGGATCTTAACTTTTATGTAAACCATTTACATTTTCTGAAAATTATTTATATTTTCCTGTAAATCATTTACATTTTATAGAGTTTACATTTTATGCAAATCGTTTACTTTATCTGAAAATCATTTACTTGTCTGAAAATCATTTACATCTTTATGCAAATCATTTACATTTTCTGAAAACCATTTCCATTTTCTGAAAACACTTTACATTTTCTGTAAATCATTTACAGGAATATTTGGAGGGCAGACTGTTGAAGTTAAAAACAAAGCGAGTAATACGTTGGAAATCCTGCGTCTTAGGCTCAGTACACCAGGTGTGTGCAAGCTTACTTGTGCAGGTGTGACACAGGTGATAAGCAGGTGTTACACAGGTGATAAGCAGGTGTTATGCAGGTGATAAGCAGGTGTGACACAGGTGATAAGCAGGTGTGACACAGGTGATAAGCAGGTGTTATGCAGGTGATAAGCAGGTGTTATACAGGTGATAAGCAGGTGTTACACAGGTGATAAGCAGGTGTGCAGGTGATAAGCAGGTGTTATACAGGTGATAAGCAGGTGTTACACAGGTGATAAGCAGGTGTTATGCAGGTGATAAGCAGGTGTTATACAGGTGATAAGCAGGTGTTACACAGGTGATAAGCAGGTGTGACACAGGTGATAAGCAGGTGTTACACAGGTGATAAGCAGGTTGTGTACACAGGTGTAAGTGCAGGTGTACACAGGTGATAAGCAGGTGTGACACAGGTGATAAGCAGGTGTTATACAGGTGATAAGCAGGTGTTACACAGGTGATAAGCAGGTGTTATACAGGTGATAAGCAGGTGTGACACAGGTGATAACCAGGTGTTATACAGGTAATAAGCAGGTGTGACACAGGTAATAAGCAGGTGTTACACAGGTGATAAGCAGGTGTTACACAGGTGATAAACAGGTGTTACACAGGTGATAAGCAGGTGTGACACAGGTGATAAGCAGGTGTGACACAGGTGATAAGCAGGTGTTACACAGGTGATAAGCAGGTGTGACACAGGTGATAAGCAGGTGTTATACAGGTGATAAGCAGGTGTTACACAGGCGATAAGCAGGTGTTATACAGGTGATAAGCAGGTGTGACACAGATGATAAGCAGGTGTTATACAGGTAATAAGCAGGTGTGACACAGGTAATAAGCAGGTGTGACACAGGTGATAAGGTGTTACACAGGTGATTAAGCAGGTGTAACACAGGTTATTAAACAAGTGTAACACAGATGGTTAAGCAGATGTAACGCAGATGATTAAGCACATGTGACATAGATGATCAAGCAGGTGTGACACTGGTGATTAAGCGGGTGTGACACAGGTAATTAAAAATGTAACACAGGTAATTATGCAGGTGTAACACGGATGAGAAACAAAAGATGTAACACAGTAACAACAGGTGTAACACAAGTAACAACAGGTGTAATACAGGTGAGTAACAAGAGGTATAACACAGTAACAAGAGGTGTAACACAGTAACAAGAGAGATAATTAAGGTGTGACAGGTGTGAGTGATCTTACCTGTAAGAGTCTGCCATAGTTCCGATGGGTTGAGGGATTGAGGGATACATGGAGTTGAATCCTGACTGTAGCGGTAGTCTGGAAGCTGCGGCTGCGGCGGCGCTGTTGGCCATGCCCACACCCACTCCCACGCCCACGCCCACCTGGTCGACGCTACGACGCTGGTTGCGCAGCTTCTCCTCGCGCCGCCACTTAGCGCGACGGTTACTGAACCAAACCTGCACCGACAGTTGGTGAAGAGATCTGTTGATGCAGCGTCAGGCCGACCCCAACACACGTACACACTGGTACACACACACACACACACACACACACACACACACACACACACACACACACACACACACACACCACACACACACACACACACGACACACACAAAACACACACACACGTACACAAACACTCACACATGTACACACACACGTACACACACACACACACTCACACACACACACACACACACACACACACACACACACACACACACACACACACACACACACACACACACACACACTATGACTACATAGTTGAGCTACAAGTGGACAGAGTAGCAGGAATAGGACTGGAAAACCAAACTACAAAAGGGGGGACCACACAGGCATGAGGAACTTCCTGCAAGACGTTCAGTGGGAGAGAGAACTGGCAGGAAAACCAGTAAAAGGAATGATGGACTATGTGACAACAAAATGCAAGGAGGCAGAGGAGAGGTTTGTTCCCAAGGGAAACAGAAATAATGGGAAGACCAGAACGAGTCCTTGGTTCACCCAAGGGTGTAGGGAGGCAAAAACTAGGTATACTAGAGAATGGAAAAGGTACAGAAGACAAATAACCCAGGATGAGCCGAAGAACCAGAAACGAATATGCACAGATAAGAAGGGAGGTTCAGCGACGATATGAAAATGACATAGCATCGAAAGTCAAGTCTGACCCGAAGCTGTTGTATAGCCACATCAGGAGGAAAACATCCGTCAAGGACCAGGTAATCAGACTGAGGAAAGATGGTGGGGAGCTCACAAGAAACGACCAAGAAGTATATGAGGTGCTCAATATGAGATTTAAAGAAGTATTTACAGTGGAAACCAGTAGGACTCCAGGAACTCAGAACAGGGCGGTACACCAACAAGTGCTGGATGAGGTACACATAACCGATGAGGAGGTGAAGAAGCTGCTATGTGAACTTGATACCTCAAAGGCGGTGGGACCAGACAACATCTCTCCGTGGGTCCTTAGAGAGGGAGCAGAGATGGTGTGTGTGCCACTAACAAAGATCTTCAGCACATCCACTGAAACTGGGCAACTCACTGAGGTATGGAAGATGGCAAATGTAGTCCCAATTTTTAAAAAAAGAGACAGACACTAGGCATTAAACTACAGACCTGTGTCACTAACGCGTATAGTATGCAAAGTCATGGAGAAGATCATTAGGAGGAGAGTGGTGGAGCACCTGGAAAGAAACAACCGTATAATCGATAACCAGCACGGTTTCAGGGAAGGAAAATCCTGTGTCACAAACCTACTGGAGTTTTATGACAAGGTGACAGAAGTAAGACAAGACAGAGGGGGTGCATAGACTACATTTTCTTGGAATGCAAGAAAGCCTTCGACACAGTTCCTCACAAGAGGTTAATGCATAAGCTAGAGGATCAGGCACACATAACAGGAAAGGCACTGCAGTGGATCAGAGAATACCTGACAGGAAGGCAACAACGAGTTATGGTAAGTGACGAGGTGTCAGAGTGGGCGTCTGTGACAAGCGGGGTTCCACAGGGGTCAGACCTAGGACCTGTGCTGTTTTTGGTATATGTGAATAACATGACGGAAGGGATAGACTCAGAAGTGTCCTTGTTTGCAGATGATGTGAAGTTAATGAGGAGAATCAAATCGGTCGAGGATCAGACAGGACTACAATGAGACCTGGACAGGCTACAAGCCTGGTCCAGCAACTGGCTCCTTCAATTTAGCCCTGCCAAATACAAAGTCATGAAGATCGGGGAAGGGCAAAGAAGACTGCAGACACAGTATAGTCTAGGTGGCCAAAGACTGCAAACCTCACTCAAGGAAAAAGATCTTGGGGTGAGTATAATACCGAGCACATCTGCTGAGGCGCACATCAGTCAGATAACTGCTGCACCGTACGGGCGTCTGGCAAACTTAAGGATAGCGTTCCGATACCTCAGTAAGGAATCGTTCAAGACTCTGTACACCATATACGTCAGGCCCATACTGGAGTATGCATCATCAGTTTGGAATCCACACCTGGTCAAGCAGGTCAAGAAATTAAAGGAAAGTGCAAAGGTTTGCAACGAGACTATTCCCAGAGCTAAGGGGATTGTCCTACGAAGAAAGGTTAAAAAAATCGGTCTGACCACACTGGAGGACAGGAGGGTCAGGGGAGACATGATAACGACATACAAAATCCTGCGTAGAATAGATAAGGTGGACAGAGACGGGATGTTCCAGAGATGGGACACAGAAACAAGGGGTCACAGTTGGAAGTTGAAAGCTCAGATGAATCAAAGGGATGTTAGGAAGTATTTCTTCATTCATAGAGTTATCAGGAAGTGAAATAATCTAGCAAGTGATGAAGTAGAGGCAGAAACCATACATAGCTTGAAGTCGAGGTATGATAAAGTTCGTGGAGCAAGGAGAGAGAGGACCTAGTAGCGATCAGCGAAGATGCGGGGCCAGGAGCTGAGTCTCGACCCTTGCAACCACAATTAGGTGAGTACACACACACACACACACACACACACACACACACACACACACACACACACACACACACACACACACACACACACACACAAAACAGGCCTAGTGTCTAATTGACATGTGCCTAGGACAGAATGGTAACTAACACGCACACACACACACAACACACACATACACACACACAACACACACCCACACACACTCACACACACATCACACACACACACATCACACACACACACACACAACACACCACACACACACACACAAACACACACACACACACACATGCACACTGAACTACATAATACAACAAATGTATTGTAACATGATGCCTGATAAGGATATAAAACACAACAGCTGTATTAAAATGACTTAAGATGAAGACATGTGTAACAGTCATCAATAACAGCTAATAAGAGTTATTGATGACCACGTCAAGTCATCAACCAGCAGCGTCATTCAAACAGAATGTGAGCAAACTCAATTTTAGCTCCGAAGATCAATTTCATACATCCAATATATTGTAGGTGTAATAACAGTAATTATGATAATAAGTTTAAATAAAGGGATAATTAGAAATAATTTTAATTATATATACATAAAGTGTGAACATTGTTTCTTCTTCTCAGCAAAATGTTTATTATGGCAACAATGTTAGACTAACACAAAACATTGTATATGAAAGTACAGTATATGTTTCTTGCATTGTATGTACACTGAGGAGGGGGTGGTGTATATCTCAGTGTATATACACTTAAATATTAAAGGGGAAAAATAAGCGGGGGCTCGAATTGTTGTCGATGAGTGCTGTAGACCCAATGTAGAAGTCGCTCTCTACAGAGCTTACACAATACACAAATAACCCGCACATAAAAGAGAGAAGCTTCGACGACGTTTCGGTCCGACTTGGACCATTGAGAAAGTCACACTTTGTCAATGGTCCAAGTCGGACCGAAACGTCGTCGTAAGCTTCTCTCTTTTATGTGCGGGTTATTTGTGTATCGTTCCAGTCACGGTATTGTGCCTTTTTGTTATTTACAGAGCTTACAATAGAATGATTTTACAACCAGTACTTCTGTGACTTTGTTGTCAGGTGCACCAACTGTGACTCTGCTACCTCACCTTACAACCCCAACAGTACAGCTGTTCTTGTACTCCTCAAGGCCATATAGTCCATAAACTCAAGATAAGTTGTAATGAACGACTGGCAATGAATAAACAGAATAATGGACGGGGACTCAAACTGCGGGCCATGTATACAGCAGGACCAGTGCTGTAACCACTGTAACTAGTCGTAATGGTAGGGTTGGTACCGCTGATACAACCAAGTCACAGAAGAATTGATTGTAAAATCATTTTATTGTAAGCTCTATGGCTGAGTGGTTAGATTGTTGGATCTGATATACGCATGGACCACTGTTCGAGTCTCCGTCTATTCTTCTGTTTATTCACGGACAATTGTTCATTGGGACTTATCCTGTGCTTAAAAATTAATGCATACATTAGGCATTCAAGTATCTTTGACTGGTGGTGTGCAGGTGACTTACAGCCTTAAAGATCCTCGTGTAGTCGATAACAAAATTAAACCTAATAAACCAAATAACTATAGTGTTTTTTTTTATTTATAAGAAATCTATCTACTTTGTGAGTATCCTGAGCCTTATCATGGTATTTGATCCTGGTGGCGTGTGGACTGTCTCAGAAGTGCTGACTACACCACCCAGCCTCTCTCTCTCTCTCTCTCTCAGCTCAGTGTTCTTGTACGCCCACAAGTTTTGTATTGTGGGGAAGGAGTGAAAGAGAGGGAGGGAAGGAGGAACCAGTCGTTGTTTGACTGGCCTAACTCATGATTGACTGTGGAAGGTTGGTGGTTGACAGTCCTACGCTCCTGACTGGCAAGATGTCTAAATTAATTGTCCTTGCTAGTGACTAACCCTGTTCTTACGTCAGTAATAACATGTTCTTACGTCAGTAATAACATGTTCTTACGTCAGTAATAACATTTTTATTATATCAATAATAACATGTTCTTACGTCAATAGCAACTTATTCTTACATCAGTAATAACATGTTCGTATATCAGTAATAACATGTTCTTACATAAAAAATAACATGTTTAGTATAACAGTAATAACATGTTATTGACCACCAGTGTGTTCTACTAAAGTTGAAGTCTATTCTGTTTGTGGAGTTCTCTCTGAGTTCTCAAGTTTGTTGTAACAAATGTACACCCTTCCTTTCCCCTACAGTAGTGACGCTCAGCCCCCGCCTCTAACTCTACAGTAGTGACATTCAATCCCCCGCCACTCCCCCCGCCCTACAGAAGTGACACTCTGCGCCTCGCCCCTACCTGTATCCTGGCCTCTGGTAGTCCGATCTTCTCCGCCAGTCGCTCCCGAGCGAAGACATCAGGGTAGTGGGTCCTCTCGAACTCTGCCCCGCACCCACCGCCAGGGAAGACCAGAGAACACGGTGTAAAACACGGTGTGACCTTATGTACGGTGTGTGTGTGTGTGTGTGTGTGTGTGTGTGTGTGTGTGTGTGTGGTGTGTGTGTGTGTGTGTGTTATATTAAACAATGTAATAAAATTCTCACTTATGCACATCATAAACTTCTATCATGACAGAATTCAAGAAATTAAATTTCTGCTTGACCCGTGGTCCACTGGTACACATTACCGGTATGGAGCCCACACCTGCTCACACACACACACACACACACACACACATAGAAAATGTTAGGAATAGATAGATAGATAGATAGATAGGTAGATAGAGATAGATAGAGAGAGAGAGAGAGAGAGAAGAGAGAGAGAGAGAGAGAGAGAGAGAGAGAGAGAGAGAGAGAGAGAGAGAGAGAGAGAGAGAGAGAGAGAGAGAGAGAGAGAAAGGACCTTGAATATGAAGGTAGGATGTTAAGACAGGAAGTATTAAGACGAAGCAGTGAAGGAGCAGGAGACTGGTCAGAGGCAGAGAAAGACATGAATCAAGACAATATAAGATGTAGACAGCCAAGACATGGTGAACAAGTGATGAATGGAAAAAAAATATAAATGGTAAATGACCCAGAGGAAGTAAGGGTGGAAAGAGCAACTTTGATGAAACAAGAAGAGGAGGATATGAGACAGAATTCTCTACGAGTTTAGGTTAAATGGAATAAGGAAACCAGAGAGTTAAGTAAGAAGACAGAAGAAATAAAAAAATTGATGATGCTGATAGAAGAAATGGGAGATATAAATGAGACAAGCAAAATCTTTCGCCTTTTTATAGGGTAAGTTAATATGCTGAGGGAAAAACACGACCATTGCAAATTCTTTTCTTGAGATAACAGAAGCAAGAAGCCTTGTAATGAGAGAAAAATAAAAATTCAGCGGATTTGTCATCTTTGACACTGTGTCCGAGAAGAACAGACGGAGAAGGAGCAAAAGGCAAAAAGGAGATATGGAAAAAGAAAAGAAAGCAATAGTGGAAAGGAACAGAAAACAGACCAACTACCTCAGAGAAGGTGAATTAACAAAGAAAAAAAAATCAGAAATTCCCCAGCACCTCACATAGACTTTACCCAGTGTCTCCAGAAGCAAAGAAAACAACATTCTTATAAAAAGTGAGAGATAGAATGATCAGAGTCATTATTCAAACATAGAGACAATCACCAATATATGTGAAACAGTAAAACAAAGAGTAGGAGATGAAAACCATGATATTTCTACTGTTACAAAGATTATGGTCTCACAATTAACAACAAATGCGATATTTCCAGAGGACTACCAAATAGTAAATAAAGAAAGGGAAAACAAATGTGGAGAAGGAAGAACCCTGATTTTCAGAAGCAACTAGAGCTTTAAGGAACTAGGAAATCTGGAAACACGGGATTTCAAGAATTACATAGCAGGTTCTGTAATTTCGAGAGTTACCAAAGCAGTAGTGGCGGTGATATATACACTTCACCATCAAACAATAAAAGGCCACAAGAGGAGCACCATCAAACTAACAGGACAATTATTGGCATATTGGAAAGAGTGGCAGAGTGAGGGCAAAAAGAAGCAAAGTTAAATTCCTAATACTAGAATATTTCAAGCATACGGAGATTGAGAGGAAACACTGGGACTCCCACGGAGAACCAGGAACATGGTGAGCGAGACTTATGGAAACAATATCGTAGAATTTACTTATCCAACGTACGAAGGAAACAAAAAGGAGTGAGGAGAACAGATGAGACAGCAAGATCTGACCTCCTTTTAACACAACAAGTAAATGACATACCTGAAATTACTTACAGGGAACAACTAGGTGCCAGAGATCACGTGACTCTGTGTTATGTAAGTAAGTGGTGGAAATGTGAATGAGGAAAGTGATTAACAGGAAATAGGACATCAGAAGGGAGTACTATGATGACCTGATAAATTATCCGAGACAAGTGCAATAGTAAAGGTAACTTGAGAACAAAGCTTTACAAGAAAGAATGGATGGAGGTAACACAGTCGAAGTGCCGAGACGTAAGATTTGTAGCAGTCATGAAGAAACAAGAAAGAGAGAGAGAGCTCATGATTCAGTCAGGAATACAGAGAGACTCTTCCTGTTCTTCAGCACTACTTTTTCATCCCCTCTTCCTCACATTCGCTTTCTTTTTCTCGCCTTCTCACATTCCACACACTTCGTCCTACAACTTCCATCCCACACGTATTGTTGTACACGTTCCTTCCCCTCACCTTTCTCGAGGGCGTCGATTTGTTCATTGGTGAAAGAGGTTCTATTTCTCTGTAGTTTGCGTTTGAGTCTGAGGCGAAGTTGTGAGTCTTCATCAGTGCTGGAGTTGTGTTCACTGTTGCCGTCACTGGTCACTTCGTTGTTGTTGTCTGACGGCGAGAAGAGCCCTGGGGAGGAGCAGAGGAAGCAAGGGTTAGTGGTGATGGTGGCAGGAGTTAGTGTTTGTGGTGGGAGGATGTGAGTGATGGTGGCAGTAGTTAATGGGAGGTGGTGGTGGCAGGGTTAGTGGGTGGTGGTGGTGGCAGGGTACAAGTGATGGTGGCAGAGGTTACTGGATGGTAATGGTGGCAGAGGTTCCTGGATGGTAATGGTGGCAGAGGTTACTGGGTGGTGATGGTGGCAGAGGTTACAGGATGGTGATGGTGGCAGAGGTTACAGGATGGTGATGGTGGCAGAGGTTACTGGGTGGTGATGGTGGCAGAGGTTACAGGATGGTGATGGTGGCAGAGGTTACAGGATGGTGATGGTGGCAGAGGTTACAGGATGGTGATGGTGGCAAGGTACAAGTGATGGTGGCAGAGGTTACTGTGTAGTGGTAGTTTGGCAGAGGTTATAGTTGGTGGTTTAAGAGTTCATACTCTAGAAGTCTAATAAATAAAAACGACTGTATAATAGATGAAAAATCACTGCATAATAAAATCAATATATAATAGATAAAATCGATTTATAATAGACCAAACTCACTGCTATGACAAACTATGATAGACTATGATAGGAATCACTGTCTTATGAACAGAAATTTGATAATGATGAGGTTGAAATCGGTATAGTAATGAGTCATTTTCTACACTACTGAATGGAAATACACACACACACACACACACAGCTGCAGGGAGGCAAACACCAAGTGTGCTAGGGAATGGAAGAAATATAGAAGGCAAAGGACCCAGGGGAATAACGAGAGCAGTCGTAGAGCCAGAAACGAATATGCACAGATAAGAAGGGAGGCCCAACGACAATGTGAAAACGACATAGCAGCGAAAGCCAAATCTGACCGAAACTGTTATACAGCCACATCAGGAGGAAAACAACAGTCAAGGACCAGGTAATCAGGCTAAGGAAAGAAGGGGGGGACCTCACAACACACGACCGTGAAGTATGTGATGAACTCAACAAGAGATTCAAAGAAGTGTTCACAGAGGAGACAGAAGGGGCTCCAGAAAGACGGAGAGGTGGGGCACACCACCAAGTGCTGGACACAGTACACACAACCGAGGACGAAGTGAGGAGGCTTCTGAGTGAGCTAGATACCTCAAAGGCTATGGGGCCAGATAACATCTCCCCATGGGTCCTGAGAGAGGGAGCAGATGCGCCATGTGTACCCCTAACAACAATATTCAATACATCTATCGAAACAGGGAGATTGCCTGAGGCATGGAAGACAGCAAATGTAGTCCCAGTCTTTAAAAAAGGAGACAGACATGAAGCACTAAACTACAGACCAGTGTCACTGACATGTATAGTATGCAGTCATGGAGAAGATTATCAGGAGAAGAGTGGTGGAACACCTAGAAAGGAATGATCTCATCAACAGCAGCCAACATGGTTTCAGGGACGGGAAATCCTGTGTCACAAACCTACTGGAGTTCTATGACATGGTGAAAGCAGTAAGACAAGAGAGAGAGGGGTGGGTGGACTGCACATTCTTGGACTGCAAGAAGGCGTTTGACACAGTTCCACACAAGAGATTAGTGCAAAAACTGGAGGACCAAGCAGGGATAACAGGGAAGGCACTGCAATGGATCAGGGAATACTTGTCAGGAAGACAGCAGCGAGTCATGGTACGTATCGAGGTGTCAGAGTGGGCACCTGTGACCAGCGGGGTCCCACAGGGGTCAGTCCTAGGACCAGTACTGTTTCTGGTATTTGTGAACGACATGACGGAAGGAATAGACTCCGAGGTGTCCCTGTTTGCAGATGACGTGAAGTTGATGAGAAGAATTCATTCGATCAAAGACCAGGCAGAACTACAAAGGGATCTGGACAGGCTGCAGACCTGGTCCAGCAATTGGCTCCTGGAGTTCAATCCCACCAAGTGCAAAGTCATGAAGATTGGGGAAGGGCAAAGAAGACCGCAGACGGAGTACAGTCTAGGGGGCCAGAGACTACAAACCTCACTCAAGGAAAAAGATCTTGGAGTGAGTATAACACTAGGCACATCTCCTGAAGCGCACATCAACCAAATAACGGCTGCAGCATATGGGCGCCTAGCAAACCTCAGAACAGCATTCCGACATCTTAATAAGGAATCGTTCAGGACCCTGTACACCGTGTACGTTAGGCCCATATTAGAGTATGCGGCACCAGTTTGGAACCCACACCTAGCCAAGCATGTAAAGAAACTAGAGAAAATGCAAAGGTTTGCAACAAGACTAGTCCCAGGGTTAAGAGGTATGTCCTATGAGGAGAGGTTAAGGGAAATCAACCTGACGACACTGGAGGACAGGAGAGATAGGGGGGACATGATAACGACTTACAAAATACTGAGAGGAATTGACAAGGTGGACAAAGACAGGATGTTCCAGAGACTGGACACAGCAACACGGGGACACAGTTGGAAGCTGAAGACACAGATGAATCAAAGGGATGTTAGGAAGAATTTCTTCAGCCACAGAGTAGTCAGGAAGTGGAATAGTTTGGGAAGCGATGTAGTGGAGGCAGGATCCATACATAGCTTTAAGCAGAGGTACGATAAAGCTCATGGTTCAGGGAGAGTGACCTAGTAGTGACCAGTGAAGAGGCGGGGCCAGGAGCTTGGACTCGACCCCTGCAACCTCAACTAGGTGAGTACAACTAGGTGAGTACACACACACACACACACACACATACACATAGCAACCAGCACGGTTTCATGGAAGGCAAATCCTGTGTCACAGACCTTCTGGAGTTTTATGATAAAGTAACAGAAGTAAGACACGAGAGAGAGGGGTGGGTTGATTGCATCATCTTGGAGTGCAAGAAGGCCTTTGACACAGTTCCTCACAAGAGATAAGTGCAAAAGCTAGAGGATCAGGCGCATATAACAGGAAGGGCACTGCAATGGATCAGAGAATACCTGACAGGGAAGCAACAACGAGTCATGGTACGTGATGAGGTATCACAGTGGGCACTTGTGACGAGCGGGGGCGCACAGGGGTCGGTCCTAGGACCAGTGCTATTTTTGGTATATGTGAACGACATGATGGAAGGGTTAGACTCAGAAGTGTCCCTGTTCGCAGATGATGTGAAGTTAATGAGGAGAATAAATCAGATGAGGATCAGGCAGGACTTCAAAGAGACCTGGACAGACTTGACATCTGGTCCAGCAACTGGCTTCTCGAATTTAATCCCGCCAAATGCAAAGTCATGAAGATCGGGGAAGGGCACAGAAGACCACAGACAGAGTATAGGCTAGGTGGCCAAAGACTGCAAACCTCACTCAAGGAGAAAGATCTTGGGGTGAGTATAACATCGAGCATGTATCCGGAAGCACACATCAACCAGATAACTGCTGCAGCATATGGGCGCCTGGCAAACCTGAGAACTGCGTCCCGATACCTTAGTAAGGAATCGTTTAAGACACTGTACACCGTGTACGTCAGGCCCATACTGGAGTATGCAGCACCTGTTTGGAACCCGCACTTGATAAAGCACGTCAAGAAATTAGAGAAAGTGCAAAGGTTTGCGACAAGGTTAGTTCCAGAGCTAAGGGGAATGTCCTATGAAGAAAGGTTAAGGGAAATCGGCCTGACGACACTGGAGGACAGGAGGGTCAGGGGAGACATGATAACGACATATAAAATACTGCGCGGAATAGACAAGGTGGACAAAGACAAGATGTTCTAGGGAGGGGACACAGAAACAAGAGGTCACAATTGGAAGTTGAAGACTCAGATGAGTCAAAGGCACGTTAGGAAGTATTTCTTCAGCCATAGAGTTGTCAGGCAGTGGAATAGCCTAGAAAGTGACGTAGTGGAGGCAGGAACCATATATAGTTTTAAGACGAGGTTTGATAAAGCTCATGGAGTAGGGAGAGAGAGGACCCAATAGCAACCAGTGAAGAGGCGGGGCCAGAAGCTAAGACTCGACCCCTGCAACCAAAAATAGGTGAGTACACACAGACACACACATACACACACACACACACATACACGCGCACGCACACGCACATGCACACACACACACACACACACACACACACACACACACACACACACACACACACACACACACACACACACACACACACACACACACACAGTACAGAAGGCAAAGAACCCAGGAAAATAAAGAGATTAGTCGACGAGCCAGAAACGAGTATGCACAGATAAGGAGGGAGGCCCAACGGCAGTACGAAACAATATAGCATCGAAAGTCAAGCCTGACCCGAAAGTGCTCTACAGCCACATCAGAGGAAGACAACAGTAAAGGTCCAGTTAATCAGGCTGGGGAAAGGTGGGGAGCTCACAAGAAACGACCAAGAAGTATGCGAGGAACTCAACACTAGATTTCAGGAAGTATTTACAGTGGAGGCAGAAGGGACACTGGAAAAACAAAACAGAGAGGTACACCAACACGGGATATGCCAGAAGTGTTGGATGAAATACATACAACCGAGGAGGAGGTGAAGAAGCTTCTAAGTGACTTTGATACCTCAAAGGCGGTGGGATAGGACAACATCTCTCCGTGGGTCCTTAGAGAGGGAGCAGAGACACTGTGTGTACCACTAACCACAAACTTCAACACATCCCTTGAAACTGGGCAACTACCTGCGGTATGGAAAACAGCAAATGTAATCCCCATCTTTAAGAAAGGGGACAAAAACGAAGCACTAAACTATAAACCAGTGTCACTGACGTGTACAGTATGCAAAGTCATGGAGAAGATTACCAGGAGGAGAGTGGTGGAGCACCTGGAACGGAACAAGGTTATAAACGACAGCCAGCACGGATTCATGGAAGGCAAATCCTGTGTCACAAATCTACTGTAGTTTTATGACAGGGTAACTGAAGTAAGACATGAGAGGGAGGGGTGGGTCGATAGCATTTTCTTGGACTGCAAAAAGGCCTTTGACACAGTTCCTCACAAGAGATTAGTTTAGAAGCTAGAGGATCAGGCACGTATAACA